CTGTTGTAAAGTTTCAATTTTGAAGAACTACATACCCTCCTTTCCCCTCAGGAGAGTTATGTCAGAATAGATTATTTCAACCTGAGAAAATACAAAATATTATTTCACTTTCTCAAAATCTTTAATATAGAACTCAATCTTCAAGCAGTGTTTAGAATACAGATATTACATACAAAACTCTCTGGAGCAAAGAAGTCTTAGTAATATTTTATAGACAATAAGCATTGAACTTTTGCTGACAATAAGCATCAATAATTCACTGTATCCATAGGTTCAACTGATACATACGTAGCTTAGGGAGAGAATTCATCTTTACCAACTTGTAGTGTATTGCAACATACTTAGATGATATGGACCAGTTTAGGTGCATTAGCTGATTATTTTGTCTAGTTTTAACTAACTCAACCCTCAGAAAATGGCTCTAAATGATTCCTACAATGACAACACACTGAGGATAATAGCATAATACCAATAATGCAAGCAAGCACAAAGGAGCAAGAAAATGTTAGACTATTACACATCCTAATCATAAATCTGAGACTCTTATCTGATATCACACAGGAAAAAAATCTAAGTCTAATAAGCTATCTAAGGCTAATAAGACAACTATTTAAATATGGACGGATAGCATTCACCCTGATGACTCTGTTTATGTTTAACTCCTACTTTAAAATATTAGGAACGATAGCAGTATTAAGGCACCTCAAATTACAAAGTCATTTAAAACTCAAGCATCCAGTGTATAAAGAAAGCTTCCATTTTATCAGCAACAATTAGAATCCTCTGATACTCAGTCCTGTACCTTAGTGATATTTGGTAAAATTAATGGCACATGTTATGAAACCTCTTTGAAATTTCTTTCTCTACTAGCAAAGGACAAAAGGTCCCATGGAACTGGGAAAGCACTTGGCAAAGGCAGCTGAAATAATACATGCAAAATAGCACAGTAGTAATCTAAAATATATTTCTTGCCCATAAATTGTATCAAAAGACACTAACAAATCTTTGCCCAAAATTGGCTAAAGTATTAGAAAATTACTCGTGTGGGAGGTTTACTATACAGCTGCATAAAAACAGTGTTTTTTAAAACAGTTTATAATACTTGCTAGATTGTTTTAAGAATAAAATATATAAACTACTTTTCTTTGAGTCACTAAGAGGACAATTTACCACAGAAAAAGAAATATACCACAAAAAATACAAGACTAATTTAATGTTAAAAAAAAAAGATTCTTTCCAGAGAAACTACAACTGGGTAAGGATTCCTCAGTAAGATTACCCCAATATGTAAAATTCAAGTAGTGGCTTGAAGAAAGAATATACCTTTTTAAAATTTATTTATTTATTTATTTTGGTTGTAGGGCTTGAACTCAGGGCCTGAGTGCTGTCCCTGAACTGGTTTTCTCAAGGTTAGTGCTCTACCGTTTTAAACCACAGCACCACTTTCACTTTTTTAAGTGGTTAATTGGAGATAAGAGTATCACAGAGATTTTTTCTGCACAGGCTAGATTTGAACTGTGAGCTTCTGATCTCAGCCTCCTGAGTAGCTAGGATTACAGGCATGAGCCACCTGTGCTTTACTGCTTTTATTTTTATTTTTTAAATACAAATTGATTCCAAATACAGTACAATATTTCTAATTGCAATAGAAAGTTATCATGAAAATATTTTGTACATTACAAGATATCTCAGGCTATGTCAAGATAAAGTATTTCAAAATTGCTGAAAGTAAGTATTGTTTAGGAAAGTTGTAGCCACTAAAAAAAAAGGCAATTAGTAAGAAAACATGGAAAGAGCCCACATGTCAAATGACATTTGTTTAAGATTTAATTTTTAAAGCCCATCTTGAACCCATATATCTGGAAATAGAAAAATGCAACACTCCAGATGAGCTGTACTAACAACCAACTACCCTAAGGGAGGAAGGAAATTTAATAGGTACTCTTCAGCAGGAAACATTTGCTTGATTCATGAATTGCACTGAGAAAAATTAATAGTGTGATTTAATAAGTGTTACTGTGTTTTATTTCCATTTGAACCTATGTATCAGTATCAGATTTGTCTTTCAACTATGAAAGATCAAAGCCAAGTATCAAAATAAAATGAACTTAGAACTGAACCTTCTAATTGCTGTCCATTTTAAGTATAGACATTTTTTTAAAAAGGAGACCATGACACTACTCTCACTCAAAAGTTATTAACCATGACAGCAAAGACTTTTGGAAAACTAAAAACTAAGTTCATTGTAAATCATATGAAAGTCTTGTTCATTTCATGCTTCCCACTTTTTGTTATATATTTTGTAATGTTATATCATCAGTACATGCATATGTTCATAAGTTAAAAAGTTACTTGATGAAATATCTATTTATAGATACACATATCAATTCTTTTTCCCCTGGTAAGAGATGCTTCTACTATACTGCTCCAGAAGTCAAAACAGTAAATGCCTTCATTATTTCCAGGTTTTGTCTCTGGCTTTGTCTTGGATTTTTGTTTGTTTTTATTTATTTTGAGACAAAATTGCACAGTGTAGTCCATGCTGACCTTGAACTCCCTGGGGAGCTTAGCTGACCCTTGTCTCAGTATGTCTAGTGCTGGGAATACCAGAAAGATTATAGACATGAGCCATTATACCCCACCCACCATTTCAGTTTATCTTTGTGCTTAACTCTGCTGTAGTATAAAGGAGTCACTGAAGGTTTTCACAAATGGACAAAACCTCATTTATGGACAATGAAATTCATAGTTTTCATGTGCCATGAAAGTCTTCTTCATTGGCCTAGGGTTTGAATTCAGGGCATAGTGAGTATTAAACAGGCAGTCTACCTCAATTCCAGCCCTTCTTCCACCCCACTTTGCTTTAGTTTTGTCAGGTAGTGTAGGGTCTCTCATTTTTGCCTTGGGCCGGCCTCAAATCACTATCATTCTACCTACAGCCTACAAAGATCATGCACCAACACACCCAGTTCCTTAATTGAAATAGGGTCTATCTAACTTTTCTACTTTCTTCCTGGGCTGGCCTTAAACCTAGATAATTCTAATTTGTTACTCACAAATATCAGGGATTATAGGATATATAATGTTACTTCTATTTGACACAATTAATGGAAATAGTTTATACTCCAGATATGTCATCCAAAAACATGTATTGAGTTTTTAAGAAGCTAAATGATCTGAACAGATGTACAGTAGTTCTCTGAAGTCCAAAACAGCCAGTCAACAGGAACAGCTCAATAAAGGATAACAAGAGACTCCAGCAAGACTGTCATAACAATCATCAAATAACACAAAAACATTTTTTTACATTATTTGTAGAATGAAGGACACCTGCCAGGAGTGAAATAAAAGAGGAAAACGAATGGAAGTCTAGTTCTGTGTTTTTGAAACAGTGGCATAAATACCTCTTCCAAATCAACTGTGATAATGCCATTTAAACAGTTTTCCATCACTAGATTGTTAAGTCTTCCTTTTCAATTGAGCTGCTGTAACAAGCAAGTACAGCCAACTTTCTGTCATCAGTAGGAAATAATCCATCATAGCCTAGCTTTACCTGATACCCAATGTAGCCCATCAGTATCTGTGCAAAGAAAACATGCTAATTTTGTGAATAGCTTAAATAAAACATGACTAAATGTAGATGTCACAAAACAAACACCAATGTTTTAGATTTGAATGTACCGAAGCCTGAGTTCAGGCACTTACTAGGTTGGGCATATGACTGAGCCAATTTTCTTATTAGCCTTTCTTAAAGTTTTAATTTCCTTATTTGAAAATATGATAGAAAGATATTATGTACTTAATGCTATTATCAGTAATACCAACTACAATAGACATCGAAGCTACTTTTCTGTCTGGCTTAAGGCCACAGTAACTAAAAATGATGCTCATTCAGCATATTCACTATAAATTGATGATGGCCAAGATACAAAGAGATTTTCCTCAAAGAGATACAATCCTTAAGTTTTCTGTTAACCATGGTTGCTATTTTTAACCAAATTATATTTTGGATTTCCTATTCCTCCTGTATTACCCAATTTCTGAAAATATATCTTCTTTTAAAATAACATTCATACATAAGAATGTTTCTGTTTTGTTGTTATTGTCATGGTTATTTTCAGTGATTAAGTTAAGCTAGGACAACGAAGTGGTCCACTGAGTAGAATCTTGGTGATCAGGAATTAAAGAAAGAACAGAGTTTATTTGATAAAAAGAGAGAATGTTACATATATTTGTAATACATATTCAACAAATATTTACATTCACATATATTTGTTCCCTTACTGATTATGAATATAGTTAAAAATTCACCTCTTTATAATGAATTTAACAAATAAAATATTCCATTCTGACATACATATATATATATTGTGCAATGACTAAATTTAACCAATGAGGTACTATGTATTATTTCTATAGTTTATATATTGATCATATTTTTCTTCGTATCTTAGCATTATTAATACATCATCATATAATCATATAATCACAATACTGCACAACAGATCTTTTGAATTTATTCTTATCAAGCTGAAATTTTGTGTCCTATGACTACCATTTCCCAAACCCCATCCACAACTACCCAAATCCCTGTAAACACTAGTCTATGCTTTACTCCTATGAGATGAACTTTGTCACATTACACAAAGGAGTGACACCGTTCAGTAGCAGTCTTCCTATGCCTGGCTTATTTCACTTAACACAGTACTAACTAAAACCACAATAAGAAGTCATCTCACACCTGTCAGAATACCTGTTGTCAAAAAGACAAAAGATAACAAGTGTCAGAGAGGATTTGGAGAAATGGGCATCTTTATACACAGTTGGTGGGAATATAACTTAGGATAGGCATTCTAGAAATAATGTGAATGGCCTTCAAAAAAGATGTGTTCTGTTCTTTACAAGACAGAAACACTGTCTACATAAACATACTGAGTTCTATAGCAAAACAATAGACATACACATTTGAAAATGTCATTCAAACTAAAGGTTTAACTTACCATCATTTTTTCAAAGAGATCCACAACCTCCTTTTCTGACAAATTCAAAGATCGTTCATCATATAAAGGCTGAGCTGCTGGAAACTCACTCACAGCAACTTGAGAATCAATAGGATGTTGAATGAGAAGTTTTTCTTTTTTGACGGTGGATTTTCTAAAACTTGTAATTCGGTCACGCTGCAAACAGACAAAAATAAAAAGCTCTGAGAAAAAGCTCAAGAACCATAAGCAGGAGAACTGAAACATCAAAATGGCAATGAATATAATACATATCATAACTGCCTTCTGACAAAATGATATTATAAGCAACAAGCTCCACTAGGAGGTTATACTTCACAAGAGTGAAGCCACCCTTGAGCTTTAGAAGGCTAGGGGTGGAAATTATTCCTCAAAAGTCAAACTTAGCCCTTTGTCATTTTCTGTCTTGCACAGCTAGTAGATAAAGATTCTGATCAAAAATCTTGTGGTTAGTTAGGGAGAATGCATCATTGGTGGCAACTTTACAGCTATGGAAAAGAAAAACAAATAGATTCTGATATTGAACTATAAGGGAAAATTACAGCACTGCTTGTCTTCTCCAAAGTGCAAAACCCATAACAAGTGTTCCTGAATCATCTATGTTCAGCAGTCGGGTGCAACATGGACTTGGAGGCCATATTACCTGGGTTTCTATCTAGAGTGCCAATTGCCAGCTCAACATCCCTATAAAAATGACTGCCACCTCATCTCTAAACTAGGAACAATATTACCGACACCTTAGGATCATCTTAAGATTTAAATAAGTTTAGTGCAAGTAGTGATGTATTATTGCTGTTACAATTATTGTTGCCCTTCAATGTTTTTATCCTCTAAAAGGTGGGACCAATAATGTAGCCAAAACAAAAAGAAAACCATGACCTGTTCCATGTAATGGAAACAGAAACAGAAATATCTTCTTCCTACAAATACTATCAGGAATAACCTTGAACCATGGATTCCATGACACAGTCTCTAATAATTACATTGTTCTTTCACATAAAGTGAGTTAAGGACTTCAGTTGCACATAAACAGGACATTCTGTTTTAAACCACAAAACATCAGACATCAAAAATTAGTATTGATCATAAAACTGAATGCAGCTCAATTTTATTCTGGTTTCTGTTAGGAAGTACATGCATCCCCTCAGCTCATGTTGGAAAAGCAGGCATGTTAGCTAGAAGGATAGTGTGTGGCCACTGCCATGTCACCAGCATTCTTACCATTACCCATTACCTTAACCATACAAAGAACATCACAGGCAGTACTATCACCATTTCTGTAAAATACCTTGACTTTCATGAAAAGAATATATTCTACATTTTACCAATTCAAAAAACATATTTTTTAAAAATAAGGTTCACTGTGGCTCAAAGTGGTAGAGTACTCGCCTTGAGCTGATGTGCGCAGCGATACCACCGAGGCCCAGAATTCAAGCCCCACGACCAACAAAAAAAAAATTTAAAAACAACAACAAAAATAAGGTGTGTGCTTTGAAAGAAACATAAGCAGTTTATTTAGGATTACAAAATGATATAAGCATGTGGTTGCTGACAAAGGTGTTATATAAAGAAGAAACACAAGAAATCAGCTAGACCAACTCCCAGCAGTACATGGAATAAGAGACTCAATTAAATTCATGAATCTTTGGTTCCAATCTCAATATTTACACATTAACTTAAAGAGTCATTTCTTTATTTTCTTTTAACTCTTTGAGGATGTTCCACTAAGAGATTGTACTACTTTGTAACAGTGAAGCAGCCCTTGAGCTCCCAAAGGCTAGGGGTAAAAAGTATTTCTCAAAAGTCATTTTCTATGGAAAATTTTGAGGAAAATTAAATTGGTTTATATATGTAGTACACCTTTGTACAACTCTTTAAAAAATAGGTAATCCCAAATAAACTGAATCAAATTCTACTGAATGAAATGGTGGACATGAAAGCATTTAAATATGCAACTGACCATTAAATTAACGTATCTCCTCCCTTTCCCTTCACTTCAGACCACTTAATATTTGCTTTTGCATTGCTAGCTTTTTTTAATTAAGTAACAATATTACTAGCATAGAGATTTGATTTATCACTGGGCAACAAAAGAATTGGCTTTTGATTTCTGATATATCTTGATAAGAAAATAAACTCAAGCCACAGACTTTCATCTTCATAGAGCAGTAACACAATTTTACATTATTGTAAACAGATAATTTCACCTACACACAAAAATAAGACATTAAAATACCATGAAATGTAGCTTGAAAAGGCCTGCTTAAGTGTTGGACCTATAACTTTAAGTCAGTTTTACTGTGATAGATTGAAATTGAAAATTTTTTAAGCTTTTAAATTCAATAGCACATATCTGAGTAACATAATGGACTTACATTACTTTCTCTTTAAAATTAATATCTTCCAATATCAATGTTTAGTATATTCAATTCATGTGGCTACTGAAAAAGGAAACAAGTTTAACAGAGTCTAGAGTTATTTACAGAATTTTATAAATAGTGTGGGTATATATAAGGATGATAATAAAATTGTGCTAAACATGATTGTTTATAATAATATTCAAAAAGTAGAGGTTACTCTCTTTACAACTACTCCCTTCTACTATGCCTTGCAAATATCCAAACTTTTTTTGGGGGGGAGGGATCCAGTCGTGGGGCCTGAACTCTGGGCCTGGGCGCTGTCCCTCAGCTCTTCAGCTCAAGGCTAGCACTCTACCACTTGAGCCTCAGCGCCACTTCCAGCTTTTTTCTTTCTGCTTATGTGGTGCTGAGGAATCGAATCCAGGGCCTCAGGCATGCAAGGCAAGCGCTCTACCACTAAGCTACCTTCCCAACCCCTATCCAAACATTTTTATGTGTTACATATATCAATGCTTGAATGTCCACTCATTTTTAAAAATAACATGCATAAATAATATAATAACATGCTTGTAAGTACACCTTACCATATCATCTGCCAAAGTTTTTATTTGAATGTTCTATTTTGCCAGAAGGAAATAAACAAGAAGAAATACCAGTCAGATAAAAAGAAATTCATAGATCAAACAACACGATAATAATGATGAACTTTACTTTTGTCAACTTAAATAGTAAAAAAAAATAATTAGGAAGTTTAACATATAATCAATAAATCCTTTATCAAAGAAACTAATTCAGAGAGTAAAAACAAAGTGTTTTTTTTTTTGGTCGGTCCTGGGGCCTGAACTCTGGGCCTGGGTGCTGTCTCTCAGCTTTTCAGCTGAAGGCTAGCCCTCTGCCACTTGAGCGTCAGCCCCACTTCCGGCTTTTTCTGCTTATATGGTGCTGAGGAATCGAACCCAGGGCCTCATGCATGCAAGGCAAGCACTCTACCACACCTTTCCAGCCCACAAAGTTTATCTTTAAAAGGAGGAGCTATCTATTTGTTTTTAAATATAGCTACTAAGATGCTAAAGCTGAATCTGGATCAAATATCACAAGCAAAAACAACAAAATCATAGGCCCTTCTAGGGCTTTTTTTTAAGTTTTATAATAAATAATAATGTTTTAATGACACCTAAATTTAAAGAACAAAATGTGAATAACAGGCAAAATGTCATATTCAACAGTGACAAAACTAAATGTTGTCATTCCATTATGTATGATAATTTCTCAAAATCTCTCAGTATTTTGCATGTGGCTTTCTACTTCCTAATAGTGTACCCAGAATCCTTGGAAATTGAGTTTTCACATTACTAAATAAACTAATAGAAACTATCAAACTATCAAATTAATGACTCATATATAGCATAACATGCCACTACGTGGAGAACTGCAACACAACAAAACTAAAGCAATTTATAAGGTATTTCAAATACTACAATAACATATACGCAGAATAAAGTGCACTTCAGATATAATCATGTATTGCTTTGATGGTGGTATATGTTCGGAGACATGCATTAAAAGTGATTTCATTATTATGCAAACATCAGAGAATATACTTAAACTAAGATGTGATGGGACCACCATATGTGTGTGTGTGTATCATGCCATGGTTGACTGAATATTACTATGCAGCACATGAATGTAGAGTGAAGTTTAAGTTAAGAGCTGTGATTTAAAAAATAGCTAGATTTTGAAAAATTATGTTAGGAATTAAATTTAACCCTTCTGCTATAGTCATCATACATTATGTTTTACAAAAGTAGATGGGTAATGTGTATTGATTTGAGCATGGGTGTTCATACCCTTCTTTACTAACAAAAATCATCTCTCACTAAAGAGAATTATTGAGGAAGAACTGCATGATGTCAGGAGCTCAGAATATTATCTTCAAATACCTTCAGTTTCCTCATAAACCTGAAATTCTAACCTCTATACTGTGTCTTCAACACAATCCCCAATCAAACTTTACTGCTAGACCAAAAGGAAAGGGAGGAGGGGGGGCTCTTTATATCAGAACAGAAACCATTTTAAAGGATGAGTTCCCCTAGGGCTTTCCTTTACCAGCGATTTTCTCTTTAGTTTCTTAGGTAGTTCCACAAAGCCCTTATGGGCCACAAGCTTCATGGTTTCTTATAATGCAGAAACAGAAAAAAAATCATGGCAAAGTATCAAAAGGGCCTGAAATAACCCAGCCACTATCCCGATATGGGCCTGTCCACCTGGGTTTTTGAGACAGATTATATCATTATTTGAGCAACTCCAGCTTTCCTTTTTTTCCCATCATCTGGGGTTATAAACTCAAGATTGGAAACATCTGTATTTCCAAAGCATAAATATAAATTAGAGGGAAATGTGATTTGCTTTAGTCAAATCCCAAAAGTTAAGGTACACATATGTCAGAAATACTTCAAACCTGTATGTCAGAATTACTTCAAACCTATACCTCACTCAAACACATCTTGACAATTTAATCATAGGAGGAAAACTAAGGTGGGGGGGGTGAGGGGAGATTGCTATCAATAAGTCCACCTTGTCCTATGGGAAAAGACTCCAATCTTCTCTCTGTACTATTTCAATCTTTTTTGGAATTAGCATATTTTGGGACACATTAAACCACATAGCATGGACAACTACAACTTGGTGGAATCTGAGATAACCTGGGAAAACCTCTCATTCTATGAATAAGAAAGTAACATATATACTAATGATACTACCTGCATTCCATTTGTATGTTCTTAAAACTTCAGTGTTACTGAAGTTACCTCTCCATTCCCAACAGCCAAGCAGCTAGTTGTCCAGTCCCACTGAAATCTTACCACAACCCCCCCCCAAAGAATCAAGTTCAAACATGATCAGCTCTTTAAATTTCTATAGTAACCTTCCAGCCTGTCTGTCTGCTTCCACCTTCACAGTCATACAGTTAATCTTGATCATAAGAAAGTAAGAACCGACAAATGGAAAACCAAAGTCAGATCAAGCCACTCCTTTGGGAAAAACCTTGCAATAGCTCTTTATTTGCACTCTCAGTACAAGTCAATGTGGTACAATAGCTTTCAAGGCTGTATGGCTTACACACAACCTGGATACCTCTGCTCCCACTGTTTACACTGATTACATCACTGCTCCCAAATAGGGCAGTCAACCACAGACACTAGGCTCTTCCTTTAAGCTTGGAATGTTCTATTATATATATGACTTCCTCTCTCACCCCTTACAGGGTTTTTGCTCAGTGAGATCTATCTAGTAGGAAACAGGAAGAAACATGGGTTTCTTCCACATGTTCCCACTACTTCTGACCTGATTGTGCTCTTTTCCTTTCTTTAAATAGGCCTTAACATACCAAACATTATTTGTAATTTATTTTGTTTAATTTTTTTTGTGAAAATACCATACAGAAGGGTTACAATTACATGGGCAAGGTAATGAGTACATTTCTTATCAAGCATTGTTGCCTCCTCATTTATACTTATTTATTGTTAGTTTTCCTTGCTAAAAGTATGAACTATCCAAGGACTGGGATTTTTGTGTGTTTGGTTCTGGGGTGTATCCCTAATGCTTAGAGTAGTGGCTGGTCCCCTGAAGTTCAATAAAGATTATGAATCTCATATTCCCATTCATAAATATCCAATGCCTCACTTCCCTAGCATGTGCAAGGGTTGGGTTCAATCTCACACCACACACACACACACACACACACACACACAAATACTTTCCTTTATAATTATGTTTTTCCAGGTTAAGTACCTAAATATTAGATGCCTATAGTTAAGTGCATCTCAAGCTACAAAGAAGTAAACACTATGGATTTTATTCCTGATTACAAACTATGGAACTAATAAGGAGTTTAAAAAAGTAAATAATTTTTTAAAATTTGTAAAAGACATAGGTGACCAAAATAATCTTTATTAAAATCACATCCTTGGATTAAAAGCACTGATTAAGGTCATTTTACTCAGTTCTTATTATGCAAATCTAATGATAATTGTCATTACAATTGAGGGCATATTGCACCAATAGTATAGTGACCATTTATTTTCATTAAAATCAAGTTTGGTAAAGCAATCAGACTGTGCATTAGTCAAGCAAGCTGAGTTTATTAAACTTCATTTATGATCAGGCATACTAAATAGAATTAGTACAGTATTATGAGAGTAGTGTATAATTATAAAAGTATCACTCTAGAGTCTCAACCCCTTAAGAATAAGAGAAATGGCTGGCTTACAAACTCTAATGCTATAGTTCTGATTGCAATGCAAGAGACCATTATTGCAAGAAAATTAAGTTTTAATTTTCTCAATCAGGCAAAAATTAACAAAAACAGCAAGATGTAAAGATTCAACTCTCTGATGGCTAATCTTACATAATAATACAATGTTTTATAAATATTGTGCAATTACTCTAGTACCACAGAAATTGGACAACTAAATTGCATATAATACAAATGCTTCTCCATCAACTCAAAAACTCTGGCACAGTATTTGACAATTTTCTTCTTTTAAAGAAAATCACTAAGTTGGTAATTATGACAAAGATGCTTTAAGCATCTTACTCTCCCAAAAGGGTTGGGGCAACAGAACACAGGAAAACACATTTAACTCAATTGAATACGTATTTGCATATTTACTATGCATCTATTAAGTGCTGGGCATAAGAATTACAATGCTAAGCAAGGTAAACATGTCTTCTTCCTTTACAGAATTACAGTGTACTTAAAAAAAAAACAGAGGAATGAAAGCACAATCACAAGAAAAGATTCTGTGACCTACAAATACTTAACCAAAGTTAGAAAAAACTTGAAGGGCAATGACCAACACCAACCATTGATTCAGGGTTTGATTTCTCAGAATGACATCTCTGCCAATACCTGCCAGCAGATCTTTGACTGTCATAGAAGGAAATAGGATTCAAAGACTTACCCCCCAACTTCTCATGTGCTATACACTGAACCATCAAAACCAGTACGACCAGTCAAGACAATGCAACCACCTACCTGGTCACCAAGCTATACAACCTGTGTGAGCAGTGAAATATTTTATTATAAAAGCTTGTGTCAGCCGAATGCCTCTCAAGTGTGCTTATCTCACCAAGAATGGTATCTATAATCTGACATTTCAAACTGAGCTCAGTGTAGAAGTTTTGCTCTAAAATGACAGGAGGAAAAAAATAAAATAAAATAAAATAAAATGAAATGACAGGAGGAAAAAAATTTGAGCTTTCACAATCAAATACTGACTATATTTCAAATTACCCCCAAACACTCTTTGATCTCCTTTTTAACAGTGAGGAGCATTTTCAGAAATTCACACATCATCTGAGGCACTGTTGTCATCAATCACAATTAGCACTTATTAATAGAAAGTAGATCAAATAATGGTGATCTAGGAATGGGAATTTAAAGAGACATGCCCTCAAATATCAAACGCTCAGTAATTGGGAAGATGAAATTACAGACACGAGGGCTGGGAATGTGGCTTAGAAGTAGAGGGTTTGCCTAACATGCATAAAGCCCTGGGTTCAATTCCTAGGTACCACATAAACAGAAAAGGCCTGAGGCACTGTGGCTCAAGTGGTA